AGATCAAAGAGGGTAGTGGGAGATAAACGAAAAGGCCGACCCTATCAATTTGAGCGTCCCCTATACTGGCTCTCTGAGTGGTAGCGCCCGTGCTATTGCTCAACGTGAACGCAAAGCTCTTTTCGATAAAGAGGAGAAGGTACTTGAAAGCGTTAGAACAGCCGGCCGCTCCGCGAAGTACCAACTGAAGAAATCGCTTTTGCAACAGCCTAAGTATAAATTAGCAAATAGTGCTAGACAGGCTAAGCTGCTAGAGAAAGAGTGGGATATACTTTCAGAGAAGCGGTTTACCCAGAAAAAGTCTGGTAAGTTATCACAGCTGTTTATCATAGACATCTGCTAATAGACTATAGCTGAATGGCTAGAGACAAACCTAACTCATGTGCATCGTAAATGGGATGCGATCACTAAGCAGGTGGATATGAGAAAACACGAGATCACGATTGCGAAAGTGCTTAGCAAAGATGACAAGCCCACCCATGACATTAGTGGTAGAGGAATAGCAAGAATTTACGGCTCAGGTGGTGTTTTGCAAAAGATTCTTCGAAAGACCTATCAAGAAGGATTAGCAAAGCTTAACAACAACGACTTTGAGAGCAAGGAGGCTAAGAGAGAGTTTGAGAAGTTCGTGGAGGAACTTACACCTGATGAGATGAAAGTCGTAACTGATAATGACTGGCAGTAAGTTTATCACATCCTTTTATCACAGAGATACTAATATAATAAGGCAACGGGAGCCACCTAGCATTCTCGACTTACTTGGTGACGCTGATATTGAGCTGGAGGGTGATAAGCCGTACGTTAAAGGTGACGATAGCGATGAGTGTGAAGAAGAGGTTGACTATGACTCTGATCTTGAGGAGCATTTCAATTCACTTGAAGACGAGTACGAGGATGACGACCAGTGGGCTGCTGTACAGAAGCAGGCAGCGCTTGAGGAGTCTGAGGAATCTGAGGACTCTGAGTTTGAGGGGTTTCCGGATTCTGATGCCGCTTCTGAGTCTGATAATTAGAGTTTTAGGCTAAGACACTTTCAAGCATTGAGGGATAGTAAGCAGTTATCACAACTAATTAACACGGATTATTGCGCCATATAATCTTAACTTAAGATTGTGATCTGTCATTTATGCAGATTAATATCCGTGCACTCCTGACGATCTCTGTGTTTACTATGAGGCATTAAAAATGATATTCCGCTAGTAATATGCCAAGGTTTCAAGTTAAATTACAGGCGTCATAGCGCAAGCAAAGCTGAGAGGAGCGTGAGAAGCCTTGAGTCCTACATCCAAACTTAAACTTCTCAACTTTTTCCTATTGTGTGCTACTACTATTAATGCCTTATTCTACTACTTTCTAGAAGCGATGGACATAGCTGCACAGTCTATTGAGCTTATGCCTAATCCTACTAATATTGAATTTCCGGAGGACCTCAACTGTTTAAAAATCAATTCTCCACAGGTTACAAAGGGGGGTGACAGGAGAACGATTGGATTAGTGAAATATCCAAATAATCGTTTTCTGCAAGATTATAGTGTAAGTGAGATCTTAGGGACATGGACAGCGTCGTGGAGTAATACTAGCTGGGGTATAAACCCTAAAAATGATAACCCACGATGGAACTCTCCTACTCGCTATGGCACAGTATGGTTACGATTTGGAGAAGCTGCTGAGCTTCGAACTGGCCACCCCTACGTGTTCTGCTACAACTGTAGTCTTGCACTCCAGCATCCAAATCTAGGTGGTATTGGGACAAAGCACCTTATTACTCATCTTAAAACAAAAAGCTGTCGAAATGTCCTTACTCCTATTCATAATGAGGCAGACTTATCGGCCTCTACTCTATCCCAACGTCAACAAAGAAACAGTACTTCATCAATACCAGCTTACACTACTACTACCTTTGAAAAGGAGCTTGTACGGGTAGTAATCGACAGCAACTGGTCATTCCGAACAGTTGAACGACCATCTTTCCATCGATTTCTTCGGTTCCTTCGACCAGATACTGTGATAATTAGTCGTTGTAAATTCAAGACGATATTCAAGAGTCAACATGAGGAAGCAAAAAGGTCTATCCTTCGAGATCTTGGAAAATCAACAAAGATCTCAATCGCCTTAGATGCCTGGTCTGCAGCTAATCACCTCTGCTTTCTTGCGGTAAAGGGTTACTACATTAACAAAGACTAGAAACTTCAGGAAAAGCTACTTGACTTTCTCCCTATGCGCGGCAGGCACACCGGTACTTCTATAGCAGACGAGGTACTGCATATTCTTCTGGATACAAAGACCAAAACCCAGCTTCTAGCTATTACTTGTGATAACGCTAGTAACAATAGCGTACTTGCTCGCACTCTCCAGTCTAAACTCCAAGAAGTCGACATTCAGTGGAGTGCCAGAGAAAACACTATCCCTTGCCTTGCCCATATTATCAACCTCGTTGTCCAGGATATTATCCAACACCTTCGGCTAGCAGCAACTACAGAGTTAGGAGCAAGGGATACCCTACAGAGACGTCATATACAGGACATTGAGACGCATATTTCAGTCCCAAATTCCCTTTGCAAGGTATTTCGCTTTTAACACATTCATTTATCACATACTAATAATAGACTAGATAAGGGCGATTTGTATCGCTATTGACGTATCACCTCAACGCTTTGAGCGGTTTATTGCGGTACAACAACATCTACCGCCAAAGGGGCGATTATCTGTTATCCGCGACGTGAAAACCCGATGGAACTCAACATACGACATGTTAGAGCGCGCGCTCAAAATCCAAAAATATATTGATGAATGGCTTAAACAAGAAATCTTGCTAAGGCCAGGTAGTCACCTGGATAGCTCTCTAGACAACAATCAAATGGCTGAGATTGATTTCCGGGATCTTAAACGCCTCCGCTTATCTTCGACTGAGTGGCATCATCTCGAACTCGTTACTGAGATGCTTAAACGGTTTAAAACAGCAACTAGCTTCCTCAGCCAGAACGAGAAGCCCCAGATTCAGTATATTTGGTTAATGTACAATCGACTGTTTGATTTCTTGGACAAAATGTCAGAGGACCTAGATGAGGATGAAGAAAATCAAGATGATAGGGAATGGCTAGACGTAGTACGAGCTGCAGCTGACAGGGGTCGTCTAAAACTGAGCAAGTACTATTCGAAGACAGACGCAGAACGTGGGTTCTTGTTTAATTGTGCCACTATCCTTGATCCAACGCAGAAGCTTACAGCATATGAAGTATGATTATCACAGCTATTTATCACAGTCACGCTCTAATTACGCTTATAGGACGATTCATGGGAGCCACAGTACAAGCATCTCTACCGAGGCCAATTTCTTGCTTACCTTGATCGTTATGATAATACGGACGGGAGAGGTTCAACCCCAGGCTCTAGCATAGTCAAAAGGAGGTCACTTGGGAATGAGTGGTTCAGAAAGCCAGCTCCTCCCCCTACATCAGCGTTAAACAGCTTTTCTTCCCAGAACTCTTCACTAGTAGAATCAGACAAGACAACTGGCCCAACCCGCCAAGAAGGAGAGTCCTACCTTAGTACTGCCTGTGTAATGACAGATGACTCTTTCGATATTCTAGAGTGGTGGAAGACGAACGAGCCTACCTACCCACGACTATCCCAAGTGGCGAAGGATATACTAGCAATACCAATTGCTCAGGTTGGGGTTGAAAGAGTTTTCAATGTTGCTAAGGATGTTATTGGTAGTCGGAGGCACCGACTATCTGCCCGGACAATACAGCAGATAATGGTTCTTAAGGATACAATATCTCAAGAGGAAGAACAGGGTCTAGACTACCTAGTTGCTCAATTAGGGGAGGATGGAGAGCCAATTGACGAGGTTAATGATCTTTTTGAGCTTCCAGCCTCGTTAGAGCATACCTTCGATATAGATGAGGAGAACCAGACTACAGAAGAAGAGTCGGAGGAAGAGGTCCAGGAGGAGCGTCAATTGCCACCTCGAAAGCGCCAGCGTCCTCAGCGCTACCGTGATAATTAGCTGTGTTAATATATCTCGTTTTATGTATCTACTATATCATCAACGTGTACACATTATCTTAATTAAGTGTTGTTCCGTTAAAGTACCCAAAAAATATAACCCAACCCCAACCCAACCCAGCCCAACCCAAGCCCAACCCTACCACTTGGTCTGTGCGACCCCAGCCCAGCCCTAACCCATGGTCTGTGCGACCCCAACCCAACCCTAACCCATGGTCTGTGCGACCCCAACCCAACCCCAACCCAAGACTGGGTATACCCAACCCATTTGCCAGCGTAACGGTAACTACCGTAGTTTCTCTAATACGAACAGAACGTGCAGAGCACTATCAGCATTAACCCATGTAAGATACAAGTACCGGATTCACTCGGAAGCGCCTTGTGTATGGTAACTACCGTA